ACATCCCTTCCTGTCTCCCTTCCCTCCCTCTCTTCATTGATCCATCGCTCTGTCCCTGCCTGCCTGCCTGCCTGCCTGCCTGCCTGCCTGCCTGCCTGCCTACCTCCATCGTTGCCTCCCTTCTCCCTGTCTCCCGCTCTCCATTGCTCTATTAATCTGCCTGCCTACCTGCCTCTCCCTAAATCTCTCTCTCCCCTCGCTTCCCCTTTGACCCCATTTCCACCCTTTCTCCCTCTTTCTCAACTTCGTTTCCTCGTCCTCCCCTCCTGTCCTAATTCTTTTCCCATCGTCTCCCTCCTGCTCGTTCTGCTTTCTGGTTGAAACATTCAAATCGCCTCTGTCCGATCTACATATCTCCTCCACAACTGAGAACTCCTTGCTCATATTCTCATATTCACACTTATTGTGACTTCCCTCGATCCTTTATATTTCTCTTTTTGTATGCTCACAACTCTGGCCTCCCCTGTTGTTATTCCAGCATATCTGAGGCCATCCCCCCCCCCCCCCCCCCGCTTCCCCTAACTCTGCCTACATGTTCCATTTCATCCCAATCAATGTCTAGATAGAACTTCCCCATCCTCCTCCCTCTTATTGCCTGGAGCTTGTATTCCTTATTTGACTTTGTACAAGCTCATTGTTGTGATGGTAACACCTAGGTGGGTAGTCTTACGGTTTAGAAGTTTAAAGAATACTGAATCGAAGCAATGTGTTATTTTTTGTTTGTGGATATTGGATGATGTTTGTAGATCGGATTATGTTTGTATAACGTGACGTGGTTCCAGGTTTTCGAACATGGCCAGGCGGGCGAAGAACAATACGGAGACACCAGACAGCAAGTCGAACTCCTCCAGCGGAACCTTCTCGGCGATGTTGAGGTGATCAACTTAGTTTTCTTGTGACGGTATTCGTTCATCCTCAAGTATCAAAATCTAGACTCAGCCTTTTTCCATCATTGTGTCACAATCCCACATTGTTGGATGTCTCCCACCGACTTTCTGACTTGCCGATTTCTTCGTAGGTCGCCGGCTTCTGGAACTATCATCAAGACACTGGAGCAGGAGGCCGACGAGTGTTATCAGAGCATTCTTCTTCCAATCAACGAGCGTATGATGGGCCCTCTACCACAATCTGAGATCATCACGTCTCGTCCGATGGTTCTGCTGCTCGGGAACCACTCGTCTGGAAAGTCAAGCTTCATCAACTTCCTTGTAGGGTCCGAGGTCCAGAAGTCCGGGGTGGCTCCGACTGACGACAGCTTCACTCTCATCACCTCGGGCATGGAGGACACTGACCAGGACGGGCCGGCGCTTGTCGGGGACCCAGACCTTGGCTTCATGGCCCTGAGAAACTTTGGAAACGCTCTCATTTCGCACGTGCAGCTCAAAGTCAGGAAGAACCTTGGCCTCAAGAATGTGATCTTGGTGGATAGTCCGGGAATGATCGACTGCCCCGCCGTCTCTGCTCCTGCCCACCTGTCGACTTCTGAGCGGCTCAGGTTGTCTTCCAGCAGCAGGGGAAGGGAGAGCAAGTACTCCTCGGAGGGAACGTTCGATCGTGGTTACAACTTCATGGCGGTGACTCGCTGGTTTGCTGAGCACTCCGACGTCATTCTTCTCTTCTTCGATCCTGACAAGCCTGGAACAACTGGGGAGACACTCGAGTGCCTGACAAAGGTGAAATTCAAACTGTGAATCTGCATGCCTGACACGTTTTGGGAGGCCCTGAATGGGATGGAGCACAAGTTGAACATTATCTTCAACAAGTGCGATCAGTTCAACAAGATGCATGACTTTGCCCGCGCGTTTGGAGCTCTTTGCTGGAACTTGAGCAAGGTAAGATGATGCTCCTTCGCTTCAGAAAGATTGAAAGGCACGTTAGGTGATTCCGAGGAAAGATTTGCCGCCCATCTACACCATGTGTGTGCCTACTCCCAACCAGGTAAGGAGGAGGAGTGTAGGAGGAGCAGAGATAAGGTTCGGGACAGGGGGAGGGCCTGGGGAAAGAAGCGCTACTGGATCTGCACTCGACTCGGTCAGAGGTTGTGAACAAGGTGACTGGCTTCCTTTCACATGTAGAGGCTGAACAACAGAACGTGTAGGTCAACAACGCGCAAGAGCGAAGAGTAGACAATATGATATCACGACTTGACGACTCGACCCGCGTATTGCAGATGTACGCATGGGTCTGCACTGCAGGTATCATCTTGCGCTGCTTCCCCTGTATAAGATTCTTGAATCTCCCTTCTCATGTTCCTCCCTCCTCCCTCCCTCCTCCCTTCCTCCTCCTTCCTCCCCCTTTTCTCCCCTCCTCTTCTCACCTTCGCACCTCCCGAACAACTCCGCTGATATCATTCCAGTGAGAAAGCAGGTGAACCGCGTTTGGTGGTCGGTTCACATTCAGACTGCTCTTGTCTCTCTTGCTGCTGCGGGGTTGCTGCTGGTATGGAGTCTTTGTACGAGACAGCGCCATTGTGTCTTGAATGTCTCAATGTCATGCAATCGACACTCGATTGCTCATTGCTACCAAATTTATCATCATCATCATCATCATCATCATCATCATCATCATCATCATCATCATCATCATCATATCCGTTGCTCGATGTACTATTCCCGACGAAGCCTTTTCTTGATTTTTGGCTCCAGCCGTCTACAAGGGAAAAGGAGACCTTATTAGACGCTTCGGGCAAAGATGGGATTTCATGCACTGGCCGGGTAAACCAAACTATTTCCTCTCCCTTCACTTCCCGTCCCATCCTGTCCTGTCCTGTCCTGTCGTCCCCGGCTCATCAATCCCCTTCCTCTGCCTCCCTTCCTCCGACTTCATGACGTCATCTCAATCTTCTCAACAGTTTTTATCGGCGGGCAGACGTTCAGTTTGATGTTCTACATGTTTACTGCTCCCCGGATCAAGAAGGTGACAGCAGAACTCACGGAAGACCACAACTTGACCAAGGTACGTGGGGAGAGAACGAGGAGGCAGAGTAAGGAGCACAAGGAACAGAGTTAGCATATTGAAGTCGCTCTTTGGCATACTGAAGTCGCTCAGAATACTTGTCTCCTCCTTTCCATCTTCCTGGTTGTGCTTTGTTAACATTCTCTCTCTTGCAGCTGTTTGAGGACAACTACAGAATGCAAATTGCTGAGGGTGACGAGTTTTTGCACTCACTGTGGCAACGCGTCATGCCCCGACTGCAGGTAAGGCGATCGTTTGTTGAACAGATGTGATGTCAAGTTGCATGCGTTGAGATGAGTTGGTCAAGATGCATGTTAAAGGTTTAAAAATGAGAAGGCAGTGTCTGTAATGTGAATAGCGTTGTAGAGATGTGAGCCAGTGTTGTTCTCGTTGAGCGCGAAAAAGTGCAATCTTTGTCATGTTCATGTTGTTGCAGCTGGCGATGCGAACGGTGGGGATAAGGGCGATTGGACATGCTGGAAGAAGAGACAACGAGTACTTGAACAGGTAGCCCTCCATCCTCCGCTCCCCACTGTGTCATCCCCCCGATATACATTCATCATCTCGACTCCACTTCATATGCTGCTGGTGATCTGATCGCTCATTGTTAGGATTCTCAACGAAGATGTTCCTCGTCTACGCCGTCAGGTTCTCCTCGTTGTCCTTTCCCTATACTGCAATCTCTTGCTTACTCTCTCTCTTCTATCAAGTTGCTTCCTCTTCTGATCCTCTAGCCATCTCCCCCTCACTTGTCTCATGCTCAACCCACATCATCGGCTGTTCTTTGCTCCATTTCTCCTCCTCTCCTTGTTTTTCTTCTTCTCCTTGCCCTCGTCAGCTTCTCACGCGTCTTCAGTTTGCAAGAGCAATCGGCGACACAGCGTCCGTCACACCCGTCCTCCAGGTATGAAGGAAGGGGCGGGAGACTGGAGGAGGGGAGGAGAGGAGCAAAGGGGGCGGAAGGGGAGGGACATTGGGAGTACAGGAGGAGATAAGAGAATGACTGAAGGGCAGGGATCTGTGGATTCGATGTGAACAAGTTTTCCTCAATGAAGAGTTTTTCTTCCTCCTCAGTTCGGATCCTCTGTGACGATTTCCATCTTCTTCCTCTTCCCCTCCCTCCTCTCACTTCATGAAGGTCACCGCCCATTGTAGCTGCGAGACGCTCAGCGAGGGGAGAGTAGGAGCAACAACTTACAGAAACTTCCACAAACGACAGTGGGAGGAGGAGGATGTTGAGGGGAAAGCTCAGCTGCATACCTACAGCAAGAGTGAATGAGGTGGAAGGAGGAAGAGGAACGACGGGGAGAAGGAGCGCGAGTAGGGTACAGTAGGCCATGGATCCAGGTGTAGGTGAGGACAGAGGAGAGACAACATATGGGGGATGGAACTTAGAGAGGGAGGAAGTTGGGGGGTAAGAGGGGGATAGACGGAGCAAAGAAACCTTGGCCGAGTTGGAACAAGATGCCCATGGCAGCGAGAGTCCAACCAGAGTACTCGTCGATCATGGACTTGGTGATGACGTCAGCAAAGGTTGCAAGAATGCGCAACTTGGTCGACAACAACAGCAGGAAGCAACCAAGATCAACACACACATCTCCAACATGAAGACAGATGATCAGCAAACTGCAATAATGAAGAATCACCTTGTCTATGTCCAGAGTGATAAGTTTCCTGTCGTTGAGCAGCTGGATGCAAGCTCGAGAAGCCGCTAATCCTCCGATGATGGCAGAATGAACAGCAGAGATGATCTGACGTATCTTGGTAAGGAGGACGAGGAGGGGCAAGGTGAAGGAGAGCAGGAGGATGAGAAAGATTGCAACGAGAATGGAGACGGGAGGAGAGGAATGTAGGAGAATCGAACAACCCGCGAAAGGTACCATGCCAGAGACATGGCCAGGAACTTGCAGGTCAAGTCGAGGATAGGATTGATCCATGGATGATGCTCGGGAGGAAGGGAGTAGATGAGGAAGGGAGCGAGGATGGAGACCTGCCACCCTGTCACCTCCTCTTGTAACAACCTCCCTTCCCCCTCCCTCACTACTCTCTCGCTCCCAGTCCTCTCGCTTCTCTCCCTCTCCTTCATTGCCTCCTCTTCTCTCCTCGACCCTCCTCACCGCAGGCTTGCGGATGTTGTCCGAGATCGAGACGGCGAGCGACATCGTCTTTGCAAACTGCAGCTTGAGGGTCGCGACCACACCCGCCATGGCCTGCAAGAAGAGCTTGAGAGGTGCGGGGGGGGGGGGGGGGG